AATCGATCTACTGTGAAATTGAGATACAAGAACTGGATCGAATACCCTAGTTCTGATTCTGGTTTTTTTATGGTCCGGTTCGGTTCCACCTAATCAAATGCTTATCCCTAGTTTTTAGTGCAACAGGTCGACACGAAGTGATTCATCATCCTCAAACATGAGCCGATTGTTAGTTAGGGACGGTTTATAGATCAGAAAATTCCCACAAATTGAATGAGAAGTGGGTCCATGTAAATAATCGAGACCTTGCAAACAACAACGCTCCTTCCCCATATGAAGTTCGGAACCCAAAGGCAATCGTTGAGTGAACTGTATCTTCTTTGTACTAGTTAACCAAAGCCGCACCCTTACTGCTGGGGTGGGGCTCGGCCTCCGAACCGTACGTGTGACGAGTTTCTGCCTCATACAGCTCGGGCCGAAACCCGGGGGAAGTTTAGGAGAGATGGAGAGAGCCAGCAGCTGACAGTCGGGGCGGGGATAAGCTTCCTTCTTCACAAGCTTCTCCCTCCCAAAAAAATCGAACCGATAGCGCTTCCCGTTTTTTCTATTCCATCCCATTCCATTCCTGGACAGGCGGCTAATACTAATCTAATAAGTGAAGTAGTCGTCGTCTGACCAATCGGCTCGGACACCAGACCGCCCGTGCCCGCCCATTTTGTCTCGCCCTAAATCGAATCCCTTAGTTATGTTGCGCCCCGACCCGAGTCCCAAGAAGTTGGCTTTGCCATCACAACATTAGGGCCGTCCCCTTCGTTCTATACTGACCCCGACTCGGGCTGGCTTTTTGGGAAGCCCGTCCCCACCGTGCTCACGGCCCGGCTGGCCTTCCAGCGGTAGTGGGAATTATCCCGTTCCCTGGTCAAAGACTTGGTTGGATGCGGGATCTACTCCACGAGGAGCGGTACGGACGTAGATGATATCATCACGACCTCTCTTTTCGTACCGCTAGGGATGCTTAACGCCACTTCGCCAACTGGCGTTACCTGCGCTTTCGTGTCTCTCAGTGTGGTCAGCACTGGGTGTTTCCGAGCAGCGAGGCTTACACCCATTCGCATTAGTTCATCCAAAGTTCCTTACCCTTATGCACGAATTATTGAATAAGCCATCTTCCTATCAAGGTTAAGGAGTCAACTGAGCATCTCAACGGCGGGATTGAATACCCGGATCGAATCAGAGTTCACTTCGCCCGCCCTGAACAAATAGGAGGCGTGGGCCACAGGTCGCACATAAGCCGCCGGGTCGCACGACAGAAGAACACCCAACATAAAGATGCACACTCCTCCATGTGAAATATTCATCTTCATTGGGGCTTTTTTGTAGTAGTCGTGACCAACAGCCATCAGCTGTCGGCTCGTTAGTAAGGTGAGAGCTTCAAGCCCGATTTCTGGTGGCGCACCCCCCACACAAGCACCGCCCAACTCAGGGGGGACGGGTAAAGCTACAGGCCCAAAAACTTGGGCCCTTCTTTCTAAATGGGGGTGCCCAGGGCGCCTCATCTTGTCATTTTCTCCTTGCTCATTCCCGTTAGGCTGAAGTCTTTGGCCTTTGCTTCTCCGCGCCCGCTCACGCTTCGCTGACGTTTTATAGGAACGGACAGCTGCCCCATAATTTCCATCCCATTCCATTCCGGGACAAAGTGTTCCACGATATCATAATCACGTTTCTGGTGTTTTAGTCACCTTTCAATGGCTTCCTTAATTATGTGCGAGGAATTGCCCTATTGAGTAATGGGAAGCGGGCTACTCCCCGAAAATGCCCCGCACCTAGGTTCATTTGTCGTTGGGGCTAAAAATCTTCCTTGCTCGTTCCTAGGTCTTTTATTCCATTATTTTGGATCGCCGTATTATTTCACTCACTGAGTTCTGTAATTCATTTCTCTTTTCTGAATAGTTGGTTGTGTTGGATGATTGATGGGTAGTCTTAGATTTAGGTTCTTTTTCAAGATATGCACAAATCTTTTTAGGTTAGGTGATGTAAGCTTCATTTACAGTTTTCCGGCTTTTTTCGAGCTTCAAAAAGGCTTTAATTATTGTTTCTCCGTTCAGGTTTTCTTCATTTATTGTTCCATTTCATCTATGCTGTGTGATTTCTTGCTTATGTTATATTTTTATATTTCTTTCTTTTCTTTTTCCTCCTTTCTATTGAAAAGGAGTCCGCTTTCTTCGCACTCATGAAAACAACCTGAAGCTGGAGGGACCAGGAACTAGTGGGAGTGGGAGCCAAAATAGGGCAAGAGCACTGGAAGTCACAGTAGCAGGCATCATATTAAGTTTGGCGCTAACGGAATCCATTTCGAGCAAAGGTATTCTCATATCACGGACAAGCCGGATCATGAAGAAGGGGTAAGTGGGCGGGCAAAAAAGGGTTAGTTCAGTTTGAAATCGACGATTCGTTCCGTTTTTTCAAAGAAAATGGGGTAGTTAAGAGCATCAATTTCGCCTTTTATATCTTATAGAAAAGAGAGGAAGTCTAGCGCCGGTCCTAAAAGGAAGATGCTTTGGGGCATTCGGTAACTACCAAGTATGCGGCTAAAACACCAGGCGGCTTTCTTTGTCGGACGTTTTATAGGAACGGACAGCTGCCCCATAATTTCCACCGTCATCGCTTTATTATTACTTTTGGTCACTTTAATACTGGTTTATATATTTTGAGTTTCCAAAGGGAAGAAGAGTTCTTTTCTTTTATTCGTCATTCTCATTCTAATTTACGTATTCTGTACTTTTGCTAGATATTTGTGTTTTTCTCTGCTGGCAGGAATGACAAGCGCTTGCATTTGGCAAGTATCTTCCGAAAGTGGAAATGAAAGTAGTCTTCCGGCTTTGGAGTCTTCCTCGAGCAGTGAATCATTGGCTACATTTAGAGCCGAAATAGCGGCCGATAACGAAGCTAAGATTTTTTCTCGCATACGGAGTCTCCAGAGCCGTGATTACTATAACCTTCCTCCCCAGAATAATCCCGGGGAGTATGAGGGGCTTGTTCACAATAACTTCGAGCAAGCTATTGATGTGCCCCATTATAGGGCCATACTTGATAGAGAATATTTTAAACTCACAGTATTAGAAAGAAAGGGTCTATTGCATGATAGGCTCTTCGATCTTATGTTTGGTGAGCAAAAGATTTATCGTATCATGGAACTTTTGCCATATACGAATATAAGGGCGGAGGCGTACGACTTCCTTGAGGGTAAGGTGGAGCCGGTGAGCTCTTTGTAACATTCCTTCCAACGGGATATCATGGACCGGAGTTTGAATTTCTTTATTTAGTATATAAACCAAAGCGGTAGAAATTCACAAATATACCGTGAATTCTACTCCCACTTTACCGATGAGGGATTCCGCCTCAAGTTTGGATTACCCCTACCTTAAAGGTCACGCTTTCTTTATGGATCAGACCGCTCTTGGTCTTCGAACTAGTCATTAATGGTCGGCTTCATTGGTACCCTTTCGGTATGCGTTGCGAACACTTTCATTTTTAGCGTCTCATCTTCTCTATAGAAGCAAAACTCGAACGGATAGAACAGATGGTCCAACTACAAAACCTTTTCTTTTTCATTACTTCCATGGTCGTGCCTCGTGGCACGGAAGCACCCGTACTATTGAAATGGTTCGTCAGTAGATATGTTCCCATAGGTGCCCCTTCTTCTAATGGTACTATAATTCCTATTCCTATCCCTTCATTCCCTCTTTTGGTCTATCTACATTCCAGGAAATTCATACGCTCCACGGACGGAGCAAAAAGCGGAGTCTTGGTCAGAGCAAGCCGACCTATTCTATTACCAGACATAATTGGGGGAAGCTCATCCGAAACTAGAGCTATAAAGGCCTTATTTCGTTTCGTTCCTGTTCTTAATTTCCTTCTTATCGAAAAAGGGGGATTTCTCATATTTAGAATCTTTCTGCGGTGTGCTCCGTTTACTATTCTTCCGTACTCTCTTCTCTTTACCACGCGATAGGTCAGCGAAGCGTGAGCAGGCGCGGAGAAGGAAAGGCCAAAGACTTCAGCCTAACGGGAATGAGCAAGGACGAAATGACAAGATGAGACACCCTGGGCACCCCTATTTAGAAAGAAGGGCCGAAGTTTTTGGGCCTGTAGCTTTACCCGTCCCCCCTGAGTCGGGCGGTGCTTGTGTGGGGAGTGCGCCACCAGAAATCGGGCTTGAAGCTCTCACCTTACCAACGAGCCGACAACTGATGGCTGTTGGTCACGACTACTACAAAAAAGCCCCAATGAACATGAATATTTCACATGGAGGAGTGTGCATCTTTATGTTGGGTGTTCTTCTGTCGTGCGACCCGGCGGCTTATGTGCGACCTGTGGCCCACGCCTCCTATTTGTTCAGGGCGGGCGGCGTGAACTCTGATTCGATCCGGGTATTCAATCCCGCCGCTGAGATGCTCAGTTGACTCCTTAACCTTGATAGGAAGATGGCTTATTCAATAATTTGTGCATAAGGGTAAGGAACTTTGGATGAACTAATGTGAATGGGTGTAAGCCTCGCTGCTCAGAAACACCCAGTGCTGACCACACTGAGAGACACGAAAGCGCATGTAACGCCAGTTGGCGAAGTGGCGTTAAGCATCCCTAGCGGTACGAAAAGAGAGGTCGTGATGATATCATCTACGTCCGTACCGCTCCTCGTGGAGTAGATCCCGCATCCAACCAAGTCTTTGACCACGGAACGGGATAATTCCCACTACCACTGGCAGGCCAGTCGGGCCGTGAGCACGGTGGGGACGGGCTTCCCAAAAAGCCAGCCTGGGCCGGGGTCAGTATAGAATGAAGGGGACGACCCTAATGTTGTGTTGGCAAATCCAACTTCTTGGGTTTCGGGCGGTGAAAAGCGGACGTGGGGACTCGGGTCGGGGCGCAGCGTAACTAAGGGATTCCATTTAGGGCAAGACAAAATGGGCGGGCACAGGCGGTCTGGTGTCTGTGCCGATTAGTCAGACGATGACTACTTCACTTATTAGATTAGTATTAACCGCCTGTCCCAGAATGGAATGGGATGGAATAGAAAAAACGGGAAGCGCTATCGGTTCAGTTTTTTTGGGAGGGAGAAGCTTGTGAAGAAGGAAGCTTATCCCCGCCCCGACTGTCAGCTGCTGGCTCTCTCCATCTCTCCTAAACTTCCCCCGGGTTTCGGCCCAAGCTGTATGAGGCAGAAACTCGTCCCACGTACGGTTCGGAGGCCGAGCCCCACCCCAGCAGTAAGGGTGTGGCTTAGGTTAACTAACACAAAGAAGATACAGTTCACTCAACGATTACCTTTGGGTTCCGAACTCCATATGGGGAAGGAGCGTTGTTGTTTGCAAGGTCTCGATTATTTACATGGACCCACTTCTCATTCAATTTGTGGGAATTTTCTGATCTATAAACCGTCCCTAACTAACGATCGGCTCATGTTTGAGGATGATGAATCACTTCGTGGCGACCTAAGGTGGGATTCAAGCGGGTGAAAGATGCGATCCATAGCTGATGACTTAGCATTAGCACAAAGCCCTGTCTTAGAAGAAAATCTTATGGTGCACATTCTGTCCCAACTAGGCGATGATTACAATACAATTGCAGCTGCCATCAAGGTGCGAGACACTCCTCTCTCGTACTCTGACCTCTTTGATCGACTCACCGACTTTGAAAGAGCACTCAAAGAAACCACTCCCTTATCTGATTCCATTCCAACTACGGTTAATTACACCTCTCGAAACTCAGGGTTTCAAAACAGGTCCAACAATAACAACTCAAACAATCGAAACAACCGGTCACCTCCATCTTATCAGTCACGTAGTGCACAACCACAGTGGAACAATCAAAATTCAAATGCCAATTGGTCCAACCGCAGCAATCAGTTATGTGAATACTGCAATATCCCGGGACACCTCACCAAAGAATTTTGAAAGCTAACACGATTCCTCCGAGAACACAACATTACCACCGACGCCACAAAACCTCCAAACCCAACAGCTCATGTTACTACCTCGCCACCAGCTTCTCCACAGTGGCTCTTTGACACCGGTGCCTCGAATCATGTTGCTTCTGATCGCAACACTATTCATCAAGTCTCTGAGTATGGAGGCCCTGATGAGATAGTACTCGGTGACGGTACAAGTCTGCTTATTACACATACTGGCCATTCATACATTAATACTCCATAAAAAATTAATTCTTTCTAATGTGCTACATGTTCCGAAATTACATAAAAATTTAGTATATGTCGGTGAATTCTGTGATACTAATCATGTTTCGGTGGAATTCTTTCCATCTCATTTTTTTGTGAAGGATCTGAGCACGGGGGCGCGACTCATGCGAGGAGAGTGGGCTGATGGAGTTTACCTCACCAAGTCACCTACAAATCGTTTCATCCATTCCACAATAAAACATTCACCTCTCCTACTACACCACAAACTCGGTCATCCGTCGCATCAAGTCTTCTAGCAACTTGTTTCCAAGCTAGGTTTTAGGTTCAAGTCAGAGTCTGATGTTCATTGTTCTTCTTGTTCTATTAATAAAAGTCACAAGTTACCATTTGGTCAAAATACTTTTGTTGCCACAAAACCAATTCAACTTATTTACTCTGATGTATGGGGACCTGTCCAAAAATCGATTGATAAATACTCCTATTATGTCCTCTTTGTGGATTATTTTACCAAATACACTTGGCTTTATCCGATCTCCCACAAAAATGATGTTGCTGCCATTTTTCCTCAATTCAAACTACTTGTTGAAAAGTTTTTTCAACATCCTATTGTCTCTCTTTTCAGTGACAATGGTGGTGAATACCAAGGCCTCTTGCCCTACCTCCAAGAACATGGCATCTCCCATTACACTACACCACCTCATACACCTGAATAAAACGGTATTGCTGAACGCCGCCATCGGCATATTGTTGAGATCGGCCTAGCTCTTCTCCACTATGCACACCTTCCACTCACCTTTTGGTCCCATGCATTTCAAACTGTTGTTTACCTAATCAATCGACTCCCCACTTCCATCCTTCACAACAATTCTCCCTATGAATGCCTATTTAACCAACCTCCAAATTACCATAAACTCCAACCGTTTGGTTGCCTGTGCTACCCCTGGCTACGCCTCTATACCACATCAAAACTCCAACCAAGATCAGCACCATGTATATTTCTTGGCTATTCCTCAACCAAATCAGCCTACAAATGCTTTGACACACACACAAAAAAACTCTACCACTCCAGACATGTTGAATTCATACCCACACAGTTCCCGTATCACAACACCACAATCCTAGCCAAACTACCAACACCCGACCTGTTCTTAACTCCCTCATCAACATCATCCACGCACCCAGGCACCACCACTTCTACTCCCGTACCTCCCCTGATCCAGCAACTCAATCCACTACCTGAACACATACCGCCAACCACCAATAACCATGAACCGGACACACCGCCTACCCCTCCCACACCTCACTCTCCTCAACCAAACTCACCCCAAATTTTAGGCCTCTCCACCACCTTCACCTATTGTTAACCCATCTCCCTCTCCACCACCACCTCCGAACACTCGACCTCGCAAAGCCAACTCTAAATATTTTAACTCCTCCTTTGTAAACACTAATACCTTACATCCCCTTCCAACAACCCTTGAACCCACCACCCATACACAAGCCTTCAAGGACCCACAGTGGCATGAAGCAATGGACCAAGAGTTCAACGCCATTATCCAAAATGGAACATGGGAGCTCGTTCCAAAAACCAATCACACTCCAATAGGATGTAAATGGATTTTTCGCATTAAACGCAACCCGGATGGCACTATCTCCAAATACAAAGCACGTCTTGTAGCAAAGGGATTTCTACAACAATATGGAAATGATTACTTTGACACCTTCAGTCCAGTCATGTCACACCCCGAAACCGAAGGCGGAAACGTTCTGGGGCGGAGGAGCGCTAGGTCTTCAAACCTAGATGTGTAGGCGGCAATGTCGTAACCCTTCATCTTTAGGTTCCAGAGTTCGTGCTCCAGTTTCTGGATTTCGCCCCGTGGGCAGTACTCAGCAAGCATGAGCTCTTTCAAGCTCTCCCAACCCATAGCATTTGCTATTGGCAGGGTTAGGGACTTGACCCGACCATTCCACCAGGTCAATGATTTGTTGGCGAAAGTGCAAGCGGCGAATTTCACCTTGTTAGCTTCGGAACAAGAGCAGATTTCGAAGATGGACTCAATTTTCTCGATCCATTGAGTCAGGGCAATGACACCTCCAGTGCCGTCGAAGGATGTGGGTTTTGCGTTCATGAAGTCTTTATAGGAGCACTCCTTCTGGTGTCCTTGACCACCTTCCTGATTTTGGGGATGAGTACTACCTCCCTGACCACCAGATCCGCCAGGATTCATCTGTGACATCGCGGCTACCACAGCAGCAGTAACAGCTGCTTGGAACATAACGGGATCGAACTGAGGGGGCGGTGGTGGTGGTGGAGCGTCGTCATTCCTTTTGATAGGTCTTTTACGGGGAGGCATATTGTTCTAGAATCAATCAGGAAGAAGAGGATGGTAGGTCCTCTGGAATCGAATCAAGAGATATAAAGCAAGGTGTATCTCAATATGATGGTTAGAGTGTTCTACTAAGTGATAAGCAAAGAAAGATTACTGATGCAAGTAAGTTATCACTAAGAGGAATGAGTAGCAACACTTGGAATGAATTTCTACGAAGTATTCGGCTCTGACTAAAATACTCCTATAGTATTTTAAGTTATAAGGATGCGGGGTAAGTTTTAGGCCTGTTGCAACACCAAAGTCACTCCCAAGCACATGTTGGTCATGTCTCGAATGAATATAGTTGATCAGGCTACATTGACCCTAGACATGATTACATAACTGCCCAGGTTTAACCGCAGTGTTCAACATCCAAAATACTTTTGTTTTGTTCTACTTAAGACACGGATTCTGGTACTATGGTATACTTGTATACTTTTTGTAAAAATACTTATATTTTAAAAGCATACTTTTAGTTCAGAGCACTATAGCCCCTTAGTGTTTATAGTTGTATACCATGTAAGGTTCGGTATACTTAGTTCACTATAAACAATAGCTCTGATACCAATCTGTCACACCCCGAAACCGAATGTGGAAACGTTCCGGGGTGGAGGACGTCATGCGTAGTATCACAACAGTTGTATCATAGTAAGCATAGTAAACACAACCATTACACTATAATAAGAATATTTACATTGTTCAAAAACATGGTTTATACATATCAGTACATATAGCAAAAGTAAAAGTTGTGGCTTCAGAATGTTCCATCTTCTCCAAAAGTTGGCAGGAGTACCTGTCTAATGATGCCCTGAGAATACAAGCAGTTTTAAAATATCAGCATAAAGCTGGTGAGTTCATAAGCATTTAGTTTTAGAGACAATGTTCTTTGATTCTTTTGAAAAGTGTTCCTCAAGAAATTTTATATTTTCTTATGAAAGGTAGTGTTGAAAGAGTATCTAGCGGTAGAGAGTAAACCATCAATTTTTGAAATGCTAGTGTTATTCTGGGAAATTCCTATATTTTCCCTAAAAATAGGTTATCCGTTCTAGAGGTAGAGATGCCAGTTTAGAGATCCTTGATTGCTATCAGCATATATAAAAGTAGTTTTATTAATCAAAATAAAACAAGTGAAGAGTAGAGTCTGTAAACAAGGTTAGTTTATACTTATTTGCGAGTCGTATAACCATACTTGATATGACCTAGAGACCTTTATAACGTTCTTCAGGCGTTAAGCTAAATGACATTTGTTCACCCCAGGCGTGCCCGCCTAACTGTAGCTAGCAGTTCAGGTGTGGGATTGTCAGTCCCGAATAGATCTATTCACAAATTTCACGCTCTCCCTTCAGGAGACTCTGGTTATACTAAAAGGATTTATCACTATACACCCAAGGGTACAGTATTGAAGTAGCGCCTCACAATCCTGTATAATCTAGTTTACTAGCGAGAAATCAGTATAAAACAGTAATTATCCTTGAATAAATGTATTTTATACTTCTGAGAAAACATATAACATAAACTAAATCTGCCATAGTTTATTAAGTAGAGACTGCCTAGAGAGTTATCCCAAACTATACCCATTATAGTTTATTAGAGTTGATATGGAAAATGCTTTGTAAAAACCTTTCTGAAAGCTATGAAGTTGGATTTCCAAAATAGAGGTTTCCCTTATGTTCAACATATTACAAAAAGAGATAATATACCCGAATATGTTATCAAACGTGGAAATCGTTGGACTTCATTAATAAGTTTAAAACTTAACAAAATACTTAGCGTTTGGCTTGTATTCCCCCCGTGAAAACATTAAAAACACGGAAAATGTAGGGGTATGAACTTACTGTTTATCGTAGGATCCGAAAGCAAAATTAGTTACGAGTGTTAAGTGTCAACCGATGTTTCGCACGCGAGTGGATCCTATTAACATGTGATAACACATATACGCATTAGAATTAGA